CAGCTTTTGCCAACACTCCAACCACCAAGATGTCCTGCTGCGGAGGAGGAAACAGCTACTCCGTGACCTGCTACAGCAGCCCCAAGTGCTGCAAGAGGCCCATGTGCTGCTCGCCCATGCAGTGCTGCAGCCCCTGCTGCACCCCCTGCTGCATGCCCATGCAGTCCTGCTGCATGCCCATGACCTGCTGCTACACCATGAGCAGCAACAACAACGGCTGCTGCGGCGGCAACAACGGCGGCTGCTGCGGCGGCAACTGAGCCCTCCCCTGCTCCTCCCTCGCTGGATTCGGATGTGGATGTGGATGAAAACCCCGCTGGTCTCCCTCCTTCCCTTAGAGATGTAGATCTGCCCTTCTCTTCCCGCCTGCCAGGGGCTTGTGAAGCGCTTTGAGGCCGTCAACGTGATTCTCCTTCGCCAGCCCCCCCCGCCCCCCGGCCCCTGCTCTTCGCTTTTCCTTCTTGGGGTGTGGGATGTTTGAAAACCCCAATAAACTGTAGTTTGTGAGCCCTGCAAAACCCTCCTGGAGTCGGTGTGTTTGTTCTGGCACCTCTGTGGGGAGTGTTTCTTCCCCCCCCACCATGGCAAAGAAATGGGGAGGGAAGAGGAGAGGAGAAGGTGGTGTGGAGGTTTCAGAGCAGCTTTCCAGTGCCTGAAGGGGCTGCAGGGAAGCTGGAGAGGGGTTTTTCATAAGGAACTGGGGTGACAGGACAAGGGGTGGTGGGTTCAGAGTGAAAAAGGGAAAATTTAGGTTGGGTATTGGGAAGAAATTCCTCCCTGTGAGGGTGGGGAGGCCCTGGCACAGCTTGACCAGGGAAGTTGTGGCTGCCCCACCCCTGGAAGTGTCCAAGGCCAGGTTGGACACCGCTTGGAGCAACCTGAGCTAGTGGAAGGTGTCCCTGGGGGTGGAATAGGATGAGCTTTAAGGTCCCTTTCAACCCAAACCATTCTGTGACCCTGTGAAAATAATACAATGGGCTCATGAAGGACGTGAGCCTCTTCTGGAACAATCACCTGACACAGGAGAGCTTTCCCTGGATTTCAAGCAGCCAGGCATCTGCCTCAGGACCTGCAGGCAGCCAAATAAACAGTTTGTCATTTAGGAGATGGGGGTCTTGCCTCTGCTGAAACATCTGAGTAACCAGACCCCGAGTTGAAGTGAGAGGGACAAATCCTGAGAGAGCTCCACTGCCTTCAAGGAGCGACAGGGTCAGCTGGAGTTGAACCAAACCCCTCCAAATCTGTCCCCCCACAGCCCTTTTTATGCATTTAATGCCCTTTTCTCACTCTGTTTTCACATTTATGCGTCCCTTCTTTGCATTATGATCCGTATCCCGCTCCCCAAAGACAGCTGGACACGACTCCCCTGGTTGGAAAATGCCCCCCCACCCCCCAGATCAGCCCTTCTCAGTTTGCAGGACTTGCCCGTGGAAAATTTCCCTCTGGAGGCTCAGGTGAAGTGTTCCCCTTCACTTCTGCCCCATTAATAATTCCCTGTAAGTGAATAAATCAATCAGTTCTCTTGGGCTGGCGAGTTGGTTCCTCCTCGGAGGGGACCTGCCGGGGAGGAAATGCCACACGTGTTCTCCTGCCCTGGCTGCAGAAGTGACAATTACATGGGTTGTTCTCCAGTATTTCACCCAAGGAATTATTCCCGTGCCAGGGAAGCCTGGAAAGGAGCTGGCAGCGTTTCCTGCAGGGCTGAAACAGCACTAAAAACTCAACCTCCTCCCCACCCTGGCGCTGGGAGAAAGCAAACCGAGACCACCATGGCCATCCTGGGGGGGGGCAGCTCACCTGAGAGGACCCCTCAGCAGAGCACCCCAGGGATGCCCAGGGAGGTGAGGAAGCACAGGGGAACTCGCCAGGCAGGCTCCACCATCCTCTCATTAAGCAGCTCTCAGGATAATCCACGAGCTCCTCGAGCGGGAGATGCAATTTCAGAGCGTGGAAATAAAAAAAAAAACTCCTCCCCAACCCCCCCCTCCTCCCAAATCCTGCCAGGGCTGAGCCCCACAGCAAAGTGTTAAACAAGGATTCATCCACCCTGCCCAAGGCTCTGCCTCGCCTTCCTTCCTCTTGCCCTCCCAAGAAAATGGTTTCACCTTCCACAAAGTCTCAGCAGAGTCCCTGCCTCCCACTCAGGACCAGTTTTCTGGGCTGGTCGCTTCAGTCTTCTCGTTTTTTTGATTTATTGTGGGCTCCTTCCATTTCCAGCACCCACAGAGGGGTCCTGCACCAATTTAAAGCCCCCTCCCCTTCCCTGGTGAGGAGCTGAGGGGGGTCCTTTTTTAGGGGGGGGCCAGGGCTCAGCAAAGAGGGTTTTGGGTGGATGATGGAAGGGGAGGTTGCAGGAGGGACTTGTTGATTTGAATCGCACCCAGTCCCAGGTCGGTCTTGCACAGGCAGAGCTGCCCCTTCAATTTTTCGTTAAAAATATAAATATTAATAAAATATTAATAAAATGTAATAATAAAAAATTAATAATTTAATAATTTAAATAAAATAATAAATATAATACAAATAAAAATAATAAATACCATTATGAATATTCAGAAGGGAACACTCCACACAAGGACTGGAGGATTCGCAGACGTTTGGGCAAACCAAAAATCAAAGGTGGTTTTGGTACCCCTAAAGATGTTCTCGGGGGCGCAAGGCTGGGAAAACTGGGATTGTTCAGCCCGGGAGAAGAGAAGCTTTGGGGTGACCTGACCGTGGCCTTTCAGGACCTGAAGGGATCCTGCAAGAAACATGAGGAGGAACTATTTAGAAGGGCCTGGAGCGACAGGACGAGTGGGGATGGGTTCAGACTGACAGAGAGGAGGTTTGGGTGGATATTGGGAAGGAATTTTTCCCTGTGAGGGTGGGGAAAGCCAGAGAAGCTGTGGCTTGCCCCTTTATCCCTGGGAGCATCCAAGGCCAGGTTGGAGCAACCTGGGCTGGTGGGAGGTGTGTCCCCCCCACACACATGGCAGGGGGGTGGAAATGGATTGCTCTTAAATGTCCCTTCCAGCCCAAATGATCCCAGAATTCCTGACCTCGCAGGAGTCACGGGAGAGCCCCGGCGCTCGGGGGGTGACTCCCCGACTCGTCCCCCCAACCCCAACCCCAACAAACAGCCCCCATTTCCCGTGACGCCTTCCCAGCCGAGCCCGCGTTTCAAACACCAGCCTGATGAAACAACCAACCCAATCACGAGGCCCAAAGACACGAGGCTTTGGTTTCGGGTCTCGCACTGACTCAGCAGCGGCGGGCGCTGAGTAAGTCCCCGGAGCATCCCCGGCCCTCAGCGCCCGGCAGATAGGAGGATGCATTTTTTTCCGGCTTCCCCTTGCAAGGTTGTGGCGAGGACAAATTCATCAGTATTCATAGCAGCCCTTTGATTATCTGCAGGCTAAAAACAATTACGGGGCCTCGGCTACAGAAGGCGGTGATCAGGAGTCATGGGGAGAAATGCAAATGCCGGGGCGACACGTAGGGCTAAAAAATATGGGTTTGGGTGGGTAAACAGGGGAAACTGGGATGGTCAATGGCTGTCTCACTTCCAGGAGGAAGGTGTTGAGGACTATAAAAGGTCTCCTGGCCCGGCTCGCTTCATTCGCTCGCCTTCTCCTCCCTTCACCTCTCCTCGCTCTTCAAGAGGGTAAGTGAGAACTCCTGAATCTCCCTTCGTTTCCCCAAAAGGAAAACCTTGGGTATCTGGGAGCAGTAGCTGGATCTCTAACTGGGGAGCTGGGATGAGGTTTGGGAGCTGGGCTCCTGTAAACTCTGCACGGGGGGGGGCTGGGAATGCTAAAGGAGGCTCCGGGAGCATCCCAAGGGGATGGAGAACGTTCTAGAAGGGCCCAGACTGAGGGCTGCGTGCACTGTGCTGGGTTGCTCTTCCTGGGAAGTCAGGGATGCCCTGGAAGGAGGAGGTGGGACCGACACTGCGGGGAAAAGAGAAGTTACGACCAAGATTTACAGAACGAGGCAAGGTTTGATTTCGCCTCCTCGAACGTCCCAAGTTGAGCATAACCAGGGCTTGGAATGAATTCTGGATTTCCAAACCTCCTGTTCCCGGTCACAGATGCTCTCTCTGCTCCTCCCAGCTTTGCCCTGGAGGGGGTTTCTCCCTGATGGAACCGGTGCTGGACAATATTCCAAGTTGCTCAAGTGTCCAACCCAAAAAGCCCTGGAGATCCCAGGGACAGGCCTGTCCTGGGATCCTGGACACCAGGGATTTTGGGATGGACTTTGGGATAAGAAGGCTTTAAAGCTGCCTAAAGAACCAGGAGATTCAGGCAGAGAAAAAAAAAAAAAAAACAACAAAACAAACTCTGTAGTTCCAACTTCCTGGGGAGGGGCAGAGGAGGGGCAGGACAGAGCTCTGCTCTGGAAAGACCAGGGACAGGACCCCCAGGAGCTGTGCCAGGGCAGGGTCAGGTTGGACCTCAGGGAAAGGTGGGTGGTTGGCACTGACCAGGCTCCCCAGGGCAGTGGGCACAGCCCCGAGGCTGCCAGAGCTCCAGGAGGGTTCAGCTGATCCTCTGGGGCCACAGGGTGGGACTTTTGGGGCTGGGCCTGTGCAGGGCTGAGGGTTGGACTGGATGGTCCCTGTGGCTCCCATCTATCTCAGCAGACTCTATGCTCCTCCTCCCCAGCTCTGCCAACCCTCCAACCGACGAGATGCCCAACGGAGGCTGCGGCTGCTGCGGAGGAGGGAGAAGCTACTCCGTGACCTGCTACAGCAGCCCCAAGTGCTGCAAGACCCCCATGTGCTGCTCCCCCATGCAGTGCTGCAGCCCCTGCTGCACGCCCATGCAGTCCTGCTGCATGCCCATGACCTGCTGCTACACCATGAGCAGCAACAACAACAGGGGCTGCTGCGGCGGCTGCTGCGGCGGCAACTGAACCCGCCTGCCCTCCCCGGCTCACCCTGCGCTTCTGGACGTGGATTTGGATATGGACACCACCCCTGCTCTGCCTACAGGCCGTAGATCTCCTCTCCTTCGCCTGCTTTTGGTCACCCACTGCTTGTGCTGTGGGTGGGATCCCCTTCCCTGATTCCCCCCCCCCCCCAACCCCGGCCCCGTTGTTCCTCTCCCCTCTGGGTGTGTGGGATGTTTGGTGCTGCCAATTCTCCCTTTTCCCTCCCCTTCAACCCCCTAATTAGCCATGAATCACAATAAAACGTGTCAGTTATGATCCTGCAAACTCCTGGCTGATGTTTATTCATTTACCTCTCTTCATCTTTATCTTTCTCTTTCCAACCCGAGCTTCTAAGCATTTGTTTAATTTCTCAGCGTGATTAATTTTG